GCCCCAGCTGTTCTGTCCCAGGCTCCAGATTCAGCAGCTGTTGAAACTGATCAGGCTGATTCCAGGAAGCTGGGGGCAGAGCAACTCTGCTTCTGGCTTCCTGTAGTCAGCCCCTGGTCAGTTTCAGTGGCAGCAGCTGAATCTGGAGCCAGTTCCAACCTACATACAAATTCAACTTAAGAACAAACCTATAGTCCCTATCTTGTACGTAACCTGGGGACTGCCTGTATATAAATGCTAAGTAATTTAACAGTGTCACTATAATTCTTTTGACGTTTTGGGTTTGTTCCTACAATGAAATTTTCCCTACTTTAGGAAGTTGGCTTTTGCAGTCCTCTCTTAATAATGTGCCAAGTGCTTCATGCCTTTTGATAACAATGGAAAGTTCAATTTAGACAAAGTATTTTTTGCAGCATTGATATAAGGGAAGTACTTTGTTTTTCCAATTTTTATAGCCAGAGAATTTTGCAGGTTCATTAGTAAATTCATCAAATGAGCTATAGATTACTCCATATAACACAACTCTGGATATTTTTCATTTTTTGTTTTTTGGTTTTTTTTTAACAAACTGCTCCAAGGCCATTATCAACAGGGGGCTACAGCATTGGAAGATATATGATTAGCTGAAGAAATTAAGGCTGTGTAACTCAAAAATAGTCCATGCTGTTCATAAACTTGTTCTTGAGTGCTTCAACTAGGGATATAAAATCCTGTTTAATTAGTTAACTGATTAACTGTTAAGTTTAAATGGTTAACTGGTTAAACAAGGGGACATATAGGGGGTCGGTCCAGCCCGACTGGGCTGAAGTGCACAAATACACCTCCCTGCCCCCGCCACAGCACTTATCCCGCCATAGACATGGGCTGCTCTGGAGGAGCTGGAGCACCCTTGCCCACAGTGGAGTGCCCCTGGCTACAGCACACTTGGGCTGGGCCTGCCACAGATGAGGGGTGTCCAGCCAGACTGGAGGCCTCCAGGGGCTGGAACAGACCCCTGCCTGCGGTGGGTGGTAACCTGCTCCAGCCCACATCAGTTAACCGTTACTGGTATCTCACCCCTTAATGGGTGAGGCTTACTGGCTAACAATTAACATCCCTAGATTCAACCCTTTTGGGCTCAATTCAACAGATGAATTTCAGCTTAAATGCATTACAGAGAAGAAGCCAGTGCAGCAAAATGGAAATGACTGAAACTGTATTTGTACTCTCGCCATTTTATTTCAATGAAATTGTTCTCTGCAGGCCTCCTTCACTGAAGAAGTTAAACCAATCAACCAAAAAGATGGAGTTGATTCTGGAAGGCCAGAAATGATGCATTTGGGATTTGCTTCACCAGGTTTGTTGCTGCTAAACTGTTTTAGCCTATTCTCCTAAAAATCCATTGTGTTGTGGATTTTTTTTCTTCCTTCCTGCTGTCAAGAGAAGTGCATTCATAGTGACATCTAGAGGCCTCATGAGAAAATGCTGAGCTTATATTTGTCCAGATAAGGTATACAGGCAGTCCCCGGGTTACGTACAAGATAGGGACTGTAGGTTTGTTCTTAAGTTGAATTTGTATGTAAGTCGGAACTGGTACATATTGTAGGGGAAACTCTGGCCAAACATTTCTCCAGAGCTCAGTTTTATTCTCCCACACCTCACTTCCCTCAGTCCTTTATTCTCAAGCTGAGGTGTCTGCTGAGAAAAGCCGCTCTGCGTCTCCCTGGTCTGCTGGGGGCGGCGCTAGCTTCGCATCTCCCTGGTCTGCTGGGGGGAAGCAGCTAGTGCGGGGTTGCCTCACCCTGTTTGTAAGTAGGGATCTGATGTAAGTCGGATCCATGTAACCCGGGGACTGCCTGTAATTACACTGTTTTCAAGTTTACCTGATGCCTGTTATGTCCATTGTGTAACTTACATCTCATTATCTGAATAACTCTAAATTTAGGTGCAGCGTGTCCAGAACATACTGAAAATAGAAACTAGTGATAATGCAATAATGGTTTTGGTTCAAGACATTTTTTTCTATACACAGAGTATATAAACCAAAAGGAGCTACAATCTATTCTAGTCTGACTTTCTGTAACTCCCAAGCAAACCAACAGCACCTGCACACCAAAGTCAACAACTAAAATGAGAATAAACTATTACACCTCACAGTAGGTTAGCCTAGACTTTGAAGAAAGGGAGGAAATATACCAAGAGGGTGTTCAAGCCAGTATTTCTAAGTGTTCATAAATATATGTGTATGGCATCAACAACATTGCATTCACCCTTGACATTTTATTTTAAGGCTTTTCATATGTCTCCTGGTCAGACAAAATGAAATACAATCATAATACTGATTTTTCTCAACTAGTTTTAAAGTTATGAAGCTACAGTACTTTTTGCTAATAGCAATGTCGATAAAAAAATTACATCCCAAAATGCCTTTGTGTTGTACCAAATAAAAGCAAGCAGGATCTTTTGAGGGGGATAAGGCAAAAAGCCACATTTATTGTAAAGATAATAATAAAAATAAAGAAAAGATAGAAGCAAACAACGTTGTTTAACTACTTATTCCTATCACTACTTAACCCTTATACACTTGTGTGTGTGTGTATATATATATATATATATATATATAACCATTCATTCATACATCCATTCATTCAAGTTCTGTGTATAGTTACCAGCCTGGAAGCTGCTTGTGACAGGATACTGGCCAGGTACTCTGTACACAAGTGATGGTAGTGGGGAGCGAAGTCCTGATCAGATGCGCATCTGAAGCTCCTGCTGGGCTGGCAGCAGAACCTTGGACTCTGATTCCATAGTTTTTTAGTCCAGTTCTTATAGGAATTTCTTCCTATGCCAGTCTATGGAAATTGCTGTATCATGCTGATGTCTCCAGGGTGGCTGCCAGGTGCCCCTCAGTGATCTCATCGGGTGGACCTCCAGTTTCTCCACTTGACACCTTTTGGTTGCACCGGCACCTGACGCCTTCTTCAGCCCTTTGTTGCTGTATTCTCAGGCTGGCACCTCTCAGAACCATTCACTCATCATCCAAGCACTCTCTCTCTCTTACATACATTCCTTAATGTTTCCCATACAATGTTTTTGTATAATAATAACTTTACATATATCAGAGTTGTAGTTACAAAAAGTTTCTGGTAATAATAACTTTACATATATCAGAGTTGTAGTTACAGAAAGTTTCTGGGTGGTATTGCTTAAAACATTCTCTGAGTGCTGAATAAAGTTACAATGTTTTAAAGAGAACAGGCCTCAATTAAGTAACAATGCCCTTAAGTCAATTACAGGGCTTGGCTCCCATAGCAGAGTTAGTGGCTTGACAATGCATTGTTACAATGTATCGCTGCAATGTCAATTTCAAGCAGCCCCTTGCACAAGCTTGAGCATGCCCTGGAGCACAGAGGGGGGGGCTGTTTCTGGTTACATAGGATTATATTTTTAACAGTTCTAAGTTACATGACCTAATACATTATATTCTAAAGGGGCAATAATAATAATAAATCTAAACATTTAACAATCTTAACAAATAATAATAATAATTAATAATAAGAATTAATAATAAATCTAAATACTTTAAGTTGTGGGGAACAAATTATGGGGAGTCACTTCCATTTGGAGGAATCATTTTCAATACATTAATATGTTATCCCTACATTTGGTTTACTACTTATTCATAATAAGATCGTGCTAATTTAATTTTAAATTTCTAAAATGTGACTATCACCATTTATCCTGGTGCAGGTGCAAAGAAACTATATGAAGTGGGTACAGTAAACTTCCGATAATCCGGCACCTTTAGGACCCAGGGGGTGCTGGATTATCAGATATGCTGGACTATCGGAAGGGGGGAGCTATGAGGGGACTGGAGTGGAGTGCGGGGGAGCGGTGTTGTGGGATCAACCCGGCAGCCCCCCAGCTGCTCTGCCCTGGGCGTCCCCAAGTCAGCCGCTGCTGAAACTGACCAGCGGCTGACTCGGGGAAGCCCAGGGCAGAGCAGCTGGGGTGCTGCCAGGTTGGTCCCGCAGCGCCAAGGAGTAGTGCTACAGGACTAACCCAGCACCCCAGCTGCTCTGCCCCGAGCATCCCCAAGCCAGCTGCTGCTGAAACTGACCAGTGGCTGACTCGGGGAAGCCCGGGGCAGAGCAGCTCCAATTGTCCGGCTGCCTGGAGCACTTCCGGGTTCCAGGTGGTGCCGGACTATCAGGAGTGCCAGACCACTGGATGCTGGACAACTGGAGTTTTACTGTATTTCAGTAAATGACATACTCGCCCATAAGAAGAGTATAAGAATACCCCTCCCATCCTTCAGGCAAAAGCATGACTAACCATTGGAGCTGAAGGTTAACCAATTTGAGCTCCATTATCTCAATGAAAGAAGTGCATTCTGCCCTCCATTGAGAACCCTCTGCTTCCAACTCCTAGATGTTCAAACGGGGACTTTTAGCAAGGACTCAACAGCTGATTCAGCTGCTTTAATGGTGCACAGAGAGGAGAAAAGAGTCCAGGCTTTTAGGTAAATAAATCCCATCCCAGTAAAGCTTAATATCTACACCTTGAATGCATCTGACAGCTAGTGTAGCACCTGTAGTACATTAGTGTAATGCACTCATGATTAAATGATTAGAAGACCAAATTCTGCCACAGTGCAGGTTTTCAAGTTGTGAAATAAACACAGTGAAGTTTATTTTATTAATGATGAAATGCAGAGGTAATAAAGGCTGAAGATCCACATCTGACAGAAATGGTCATACTAAGTGTAGGCAGGAGAAAAAGTATTTTGCCACTTTCAATCCCTTTGAATTTCAGGAGTAACTGGTATTCCCTAAATTGTTTCCAGTAGAACCTCAGAGTTATTAATATAAGAGTTATAAACTGACTAGTCGACCACATACCTCATTTGAAACTGGAAGTGCTCAACAGGCAGCAACAGCAAAAAACAAAAGCCAAACAACACACCAACTGTTGTTAAACTATTAAAATAAAGGAAAAGTTTGCCAAAAAAAAAAAAAAAAAGGTTTGACAAGATCAAATGAAACGAACCAGTTTCTTAAATTATTATGGCTAAAAGCATTTTTCTTTTGCATAGTAAAGTTTTAAAGCTGAATTAAGTTAATGTTTAAATGTAAACTTTTGAAAGAACGCCATAATTTTTTGTTGAGCAATACAAACTTTCAGAGTTATGAACAACCATCATTTCCTAGTGATCATAACTCAAAGGTTCTGCTGTATCTTTTGAGAGAGAAGCAGCTTCCCTTGCCTTTCTGTCTAGATCCTTTCCCCAAGCAGCTGGCATCATCTTTATTTTATGTGAACTGAGCCTCAGCCAGCCACCTTTCTCTCTGCCAGGCACTGGGAAAGCAAAGGAAGTGTACTTTCTTGTTTTAATAGAAAAAACAGGTAAATCTGTGGTGTCATCTACTGATGATTAGACAGTTTGAGCTGCAATGTTCTTGTCTTTGTTTGTTTGAGAACAATCACAATATCTCTTTGAAGGAATGAGCTCTGCTTACTCCGAGGGATGTTTTAAGCACAGATAAGTTTCCAGTTCCATTCCACAGTCACTCTGATTGCAAGGAAACATTACAGTTGACTTTTTATTTTATCCTTCTATTTCCCTCCCCCTCCCCCCGCCCACCCAAAAAGAGCATTCTTAAAACTTTAAATGCTTACAGAATTGTTTTTTTCTGATTTTTTTAAAGTCATGTAAAAATATTCTGATTCTTATGTTGTGTGGATTAGTTTCAGAACAGAAACAGAAGACAACTGTTACTTGTGCCCACCCTGCTATACCTAGTGTGGAGTTCCCTCCTAGCTCCCATTCTGAAGAAGTAGCATTAAAAGATAAAGATCTGAAGAAGACTGAGACAGAACAGAAGGAAGCAGAAGTCCTAGTTACACAGAAGGTAGTGTGATACAGAAGAGCATTGGGATGGGAGTGGTGTCATATTTAAGAACCTGCCATGGAAATGCTTTCAGTGCTAATAAGCTGAGTGTTACTTTGCCTTATATAATTACTGAATTAGGAATTTAATCAAAGCAGCCTGTTAGTGAACAACATTGAATTACTGTTTTAATACAAAAAATTCTTCTTCCTTCCCCATGGAAGAATTGAATGTTGGTATTCTTATATGCATTGAACCATAGGTCTGAGCTTGCAAATGCTGTAAACATGGGTACTTTCTGTTGCAAGTGGGCCAGTTAAACTCAGTGGGACTAATTATAGTTTAGAACACTGCACCCTATAGTAAGTATTTGCAGACTTATGCCTCAGTTCATTTGCAGCTTCCTGGTTCAGCACCACCTGCTCCAAGCAGCAATTAGAGCAGCAGAGGGAACATTTACACTGTTAGTGTTAGGGACCTTCTACCAGTGGACTAAAGGTGTAGCATAGTGTAGTTCCACTATGCTAACTTCTTTTCTTGACATGCTTCCTATGCTATATTTGTGGGGAACAACTGTCAGCCTCAGACCTGCTGCCTTTATGTCAGCGTGAATTTCCCCTCCAGAAGGAATTCTCCACTGGTCACTTTGCTCCATGTCAGTGCCACAAAGTGGTTGGAGCAGACCACACAATCAGGTTTGAATATCTTGTATTTCCATGTGTTGGGGAAGCAGAGTATCTGAAGAATGTGAAAGAAAGATGTTTGCCCTTACAGCCACCTTTAAATGTTCAGTGAGTGCATGTGGCTAAGGAAGAGATTGTCTCTGATGAGACTGAGGGAAATGGCAACAGCTTTGGACAAGTCGCAGCCGGGGCATCTAGGGAAGTAGTAATATCACATGGGGTTTAATAACAATAAAACCCCACAGATGTTAAATATTATAAAATTACACCAAAGTGATGTAAGCAAACATTTAGAATCAAAGTCCTGATTCAAAAAGATAAGTGAAAATACTTCCTATAGTGGTATTAGGACCTGAATAATTCTGTATGCTAGCATTTGTTATGCTTTTGCAAAAAAGCATCATTCTAGACTGCATTAGCAGGAGCATTATAGCAGGACATGATAAATAATTCTTCTGCTTTACTCCACACTGATTAGGCCACAGATGGAGTACTATGTCCAGTTCTGTGCGCCACGTTTCAGGAAATATGTGGATAAATTGCAAAAAGTCCAGAAGAGAGCAACAAATATTACTAAAGGTCTAGAAAGATGATCTCTGAGGGACAATTGAAAGAACTGGATTTGTTTAGTCCAGAAACAGAAGACTAAGAGGGGGCATAGTCACAGCTTTCAAGTATTAAAAAGGTTGCTAAAAGGTTGTTATAAGGAGGAGCAAGAAAAATTCTTTTCCTTAACCTCTGATGATAGGGCAAGAAGCAATGATTTTAAATTGCAGCAAGGGTGGTTTATGTTGGACATTAGGAAAAGCTTCGTAACTGTAAGGGTGGTTAAGCATTGAAATAAGTTGTTCAGTGACAGGGTGCCATTTAAAAAGGTGTGGGGAGGACTCTAGTCCACTTCCACCTCCCTGAATTTTGTACCAGAGATCTACTCAACCTAGCCCCAGACAGATCTCTTACTTGCAACACAGCTGGGGGATATGTCTACACTTAACAAGTTTTGTCAACAACTGTTATGTTAATGCCCCAAAAGTCAACAAAACAAAAATCGATAGAGGGTGTTCACACTTGCGTCTTCTGTCAAGAGATCATCTCCACATGATGATGGGGATACCGTCATCAACAATGTGAGCCATATTGTGGGAAGGCAGAGCGGATCCCTGTGCATCCTTTGGAGTTCCCCCTCAGTTTTCCCACAGCCTTTTCAGCTGCCAGGAACAGCATCATGAGTAGCTCTGTGAGCTCTCCGTGCTGAGGAATGGCAAAGCAACACAGCAGCCTGTCCCCCTGCAGTGCGGTCTGCCTGCCTCTCCATTCTTAGTGCAGGGAAGAACAGGAGCAGTCCAATGATTTGCAATTTGTTTGCTCCCTAAACAGAGCAGCTCACTCAGCTATTAGATCCTTCCCTGGAGCTGTGAAAGGAGAGGGGTGCACGCCTGCAGGGCAGTGAGATCAAAACTCAACAGGTTAGGCATTGTGGGATACAGGAAGAAGCCAGTTCTGTCAACAAAAACAGCAGAGTTTACACGGGCTCTTTGCCGAGAACATGTTATTAGAGTTGAATGGTCTAATACTTATTTTATCTGTGTTTTATATAGGAATTAGATACAGGGCTCCTGTCAGCTAACTGCTAAATTATCTGCGAGAAAACTAGAGTTTTCAAGTGCCTAAGTAGCCCCTAGAATCATGGTTAAAGTAACACTCTCCCAACCAGAATCTGAAATGGTGTCCATGTTAGGGGGGTTGTGGAATCTCTAGCATTGGAGATTAAGAGTAGGTTAGACAAACAGCTGTCAGGGATAATCTAGATGGTGCTTGGTCTTCAATGAGTGCAGAGGAGTGGGCTTGATGATCTCTTGATATTCTTTCCAGTTCTATGATTTTATTCAGTGAAACATGGTGCTTTCTAGATGTTAATGCCTGTTCTTAAACAAATTGGGTAGGTAATGAAGTCAAATGCTCCAGAACAAGAAGGGATTATACTATTTCCATTTTTGAAGAAAATACCTGAGACCAGCCAAGTTATTCTTCAAAACTCTGATCAACAAGGTAAGCAAAAGAAAGCAGGAATATTCTGTAGATTTGTAGACTTTAACTGGATAGTATTTAAACATTTATTTGGAGGGTCAAAAGAAAAATAGCTGTCCTTTGACCTACTGTTCTTCTTCATGTAATGGTCTCTGTGTGTATTCAGTGTGTACTCACGGTGCTCATGTGCACCATGAGCCTGAGACTGGAATATTTTTCACTGGCAGCGTCCATTCATCCACACTGTGCCTTTCTCTTTCTAATGCTCCCAGCTAAAGACATAAGGGGCAGTTCAGGCCTGCCATTTCTATTGCCCTTCTATTCAGTCCATTACCGAGACTGAACATCCACAGCTTTTGCTAGCATTTTTTCCTATATAACTGTAAATAATTTTTACCTTAGATCATTGAATAGCTAGTTTTGTTTTAGTCGCGGCGGGGGGCCCCTGACACCCTCCAAGGGTGGTTAGCGTGCCCAAGACCTGTCCAGGATTCAAAATATTTGTGGTCTGCCCTAGGCCTTCCCAGTCATTGATGATCACTGCATTTGGTGTATATTGTCTCAGTGATGCTCTTATCCCATCCAAGGGCAAAGTATGTTGGTCATGCTCTTGAGTAACCCATCAGCCACATGAATTCAGACAATGATGAATTGCGGATCAGTGGGAGAGCTTCCTCAGTCTTTCAAAACATGAGAATTCAGCCCTGATGGAGACTCAAAAATCTTTTGGGCACCTTCTCGCTCCCACAGGGGAGACTGTATGGCCCAAAGCCAATGGCACCCTTCTCTTGTGATCGCTTATTTGGGACTTGGGATCCATGTGTGAGACATCTGGAATGCAGATGGACAGAATGGGAGTTTGAGACAGGCATCCTTGCATGGAGAAGAACCTCAGCCCCCTCAGGAACACTCTGAGGAGGAAGATCCTGACAGAGCCACTTGTCTCTTCAGGATTATCATCATCTTCACCAGATGAGGTGGTAGCACTGTGTGATTATCAGGACTTGACAAATGGCGGCAAAAGCCGCTCGCCAGCCCCACACTGCGAAAGCACAAGAGCTGCATTGCGCAGGTGCACGCCACCAGTAAACAGAGCGTACGGCTGAAATCTACTCGCCATGGGCGAGTAGATTCTATAGTTTGTCGAGCCCTGGTGATTATAGGCCAGAGGTGGGCAAACTTTTTGACCCAATGGCCACATCAGGTTATAGAGCGCCATGCATGTTCACAAAATTGGAGTTGGGATGTAGGAGGGTGTAAGGACTCTGGCTAGGAATAAGGGCTCTGAGGTGGGGCCAGATATGAGTGTGGGAGAGAGCTCTGAGCTGGGACTGAGGGGGGCACTGGGTTGGGACAAGGGACTGGAGTGTGCAGGGATATGAGGGCTTTGAGGTGGGCTGTGGATGAGCAGTATAGGAGGGTGCTCTGGGCTGGGATTGAGAGCTCAGACGATGGGAAGGGGATCACGGCTGGGATAGGGGCTGGGATGTAGGAGAGAAGGGAGGGTCAGAGGCAGCAGTGCAGAATGACAGGGGACTCCCCAGAAATGGGGTCGAAGTGCACTGGCTGCTGGTCCTACCTCTGGGGACTAACAAATAGTCGTGTAGCCACTAAAATTTCATGCAGTTACGCAACTATTCAATTACACTATCTCACATCCCTAGTTACAACCTGGGACAAGGGGCTGAGGTGTGGAACGGAATTCAGAGTGTGGGTTCCAGCTGGGTGCGCTTAGCTTGGGCATCTCCTAGTGAGTGGTGCAGGAGGATATGGCAGGCTCCTTGGCTGCCTTGACTCCGTACTACTCCTGAAAGTGGCCTCCATGTCTGGCCTCTAGGCAGAGGGGCCAGGCAGTTCTGTGTGGTGCACATTACCCGCACCCACGGACCACCGCTCCTGCAGCTTCCATTGGCCAGGATTCCTGGTCAATGGAAGCCATGGAGCCAGGGCCGGACTAAGAGGTAGGCTAGCCGGGCAGCTGCCCTGGGTGCCAACCTATGGGGGGGGCACCTGGCTCCCGGCGGGCTGCAGGGGCCGCCCGGGGTGGGGGCTGTGTTAATCCCCACAGCACCAGCCAGCAGCACCCTTTCCCCCGCAGCCGCAGGGCCCTGCACGGCCAGGCGCAGCCCGCCTGGGCTGTGCGCCATTGGCAGAGGCCGGGCCGACTCAGCAGCGCATGCACCGTGCGTCTGCCCAAGCGCCCCAGGGGCGGGCCCGCGCATGCGTCATGCGCCCAGAGGCGGGGCCGCTTGTCCTGGGGGAAAGGCCTGCGCATGCGCTGTGAGCCCAGAGGTGGGGCCATGCGCCCCGGGGCCGGCGCAATGCGCCTGGAGTCCGGGGCACCAAAATGGCTCGAGCCGGCCCTGCATGGAGCTGGTGCTGGGAATAAGGGCAACACACACAGCTTCCTTGATCACCCTTCTTGCTGTGGGCTGGATGAAATGAAGCAGTAGGCCAGATTCAGCCCACAGGCCATGTGTTCCCTACCCATGCTCTATATGCTCTTGAAGAAGTATAGGAATCTCCTCAAAAGTTACTGGATGTCCTTCACAGCATGGCTCCTAATAAAGTGGCACTGTCAATCAATGAGGTCATTTTAGGACTGGCCAACATAGTCTGCAGTTCTCCAGACACTGGCATTCCTAATCCAAAAAGAATGTAGAAAAAATATTTGTGTACATCTAAGGGAGTGGTGGACTCAGAAGATACAGCTTCCCACTTGATGGCAACTTTGGTGGTGAGATGGGGTTCATGGTTTTAATCTTCCTCGAACAGGAGCCACATGGCTTGGTGGAAGAGAGTATCTTTTAACAGTGGAGATTCTCCTTCTGGGATCTCTTCACATCTCAAGAAACCAAAAAAGTCCAAGCTTCTGCTCCTGAGCAGCCAGAGCCCACAATGTCAGAAGAGATGCATTTATGTTATGGTGACTGGAACTGCTGATGCATGCAAACCCACTCCTGTGTCTCCTCTCTCAAATCTCGAGAGAGATCAAACAAGACAAAACATCGCTGATTATAGTTGTTCCTCAGCTGTCAAGATAGTTGTGATTCACTGGTGTTGTCCAGCTGATCTTGATGTTACATTGTGAATGCATTCCAGAAATCTTGGAATTCCATCTGAAGTGGGTCATCAGTCTAAAATCCCATGCTGCCAAAGAAGTTACACTCTGGATGTTGGTCCAGCCTTGGCATTCTGCCTTCAGAGGGCAAAATCCTTCAGGAATCTCATTAACTCTGTCTCTTTTTCCTGAATGTATATGAGAGGAAATACACAATTTCTAAAAAAAAATTTAGGTTGCTTTGCTATGACATGACAGTGACCCCTCATGAAGCATGAGTACAAGGAGCAGAAGCACATAGGTGCAGACCAACAAACACAGCTAACGAAAAACTGTCAGTCCCAGGTGCATGGAGCACATGTGCTCCTTGAGTGGAATGCACATGGCCACACATTCCAATACTCCAGTTACTATATACGATGTCATCTTTTTAAAAGGAAATAATTATTTTCCACCAAAACAGTTTCTTCTGATCTAGTACTGTTAATGAAGCTCTGTGGTGATAGTTGCACTGTTGTCACTACCTACTTTAAATACAACCACAGATATGTGGTACAAGTCAGTAAGATCAAAATGGCACTATCTAGCATACCTCTGACATTGTATTTAAGAGTTGTTACATTTTACTAATCCTGCTCTCCTAAGTTGATGACAATAGCTTAGTTAAGTTGGGGAGCTGACTGTAAGCAAGGCCTGGCCTATCTTTTAAGGTAGAGAGTCATCTGGGATAAGTTGTAGGCTCTTGATGAGGGTGTATTGAAGAGGTTTTAACAGGATTGTAATTAATGGGCACTGGAGTTGTGTTGCTTTCTTTGTTGGGTCTGTCCTGTAGTGTGTGACTTCTGGGTGCCCACCTGGTTTTGTTAGTTTGTTTCTTCACTTCCCCAGGTGGGTTCTGTAGTTTTAAGAATGCTTGATAGAGATCGTATAGGTGTTTGCCTCTCTCTGAGAGATTGGAGTAAATGCAGTTGTATCTTAGGACTTGGCTGTAGGCAATAGATTGTGTAATGTGTTCTGGATGAAAGCTGGAGGAATGTAGGTAAGTATAGAGTTTAGTAAATTTCTGGTACAGGGTAGTGTTTGTGATCATCACTTACTTGCACTGTAGCATCCAGCAAGTGGATCTCTTGTGTGGAGTGATGCTAACTTTAAGGTATAAATTGTCCCAAATCTGAAGTAGTCATGGGTGAGAACAAAATCTCAAAGCTCAAACCAGAAATCTGGAGACACAGTTCAACTTGAAAGTTGCCATCCTCAAGCAAAGAATTTTCAAAAACAGGCTGTAACATGAAACTGCTAGGCTGAAATTCATATGCAAATTTGACACCATCAGAGTGGATCTGAATAGGAACTGGAAATGGCTATCATTACAATAAATAATTTTCCACTTTAAGTATTCTCACCTTCTTATCCACATCCACTCTGAGTAAATTAGCTCTGATGTAATTAGTTCATCTCTGTATCCCAACTATCTGTTTCTTTTTCTTTCACTTCATGCATCTAACGAAGTGAGTTGCAATTCATGAAAGCTTATGTCATAATAAATTCATTAGTCTTTAAGGTGCCACTGGATTCCTTGTTGCTTTTTGCTGAAACAGTCTAATGTGGCTACATCTGAAACTTGATTTCTTTTGGTAATAAAAATGTTTGGAGCTAATTTCTGTCCTCATACTCATGAGTGGTGCTTAGTAAAGTGAATAATAACAATGCATATATCCTGCATACACTTCAATATACCTTACAAATATTTGAAGTTGCTGTAAATCACAAAAAATATCCTTTTCCCCTTCTTTACAAAGATATGACACTTCTTATTCTTTAGCATGTGCAGATGTATATGTGTATGCAATATAATACACATAGCAATCAGAAATTATAGAGTAACACCAGGGATTGTCTGACTTTCTAGTGTCCCCTGAAACTTTTGGGTCAGTGTTTATTGGCAATGCAAAGACTTCTCCCCCTTCCTCTTGTTTTCAGGAATGAAATTGCTCTAGATCAGTGGTCACCAACTAGTAAATCGGGATCTAATGGTAGAACTTGGAACCTCTGACAAGTTATCTTGACTGGTTTGGCCAGGAAGCTATCAAGCACTGGTGCTTCCGTTGCTCATGCAACCTACTGTCATGCTACTCCTGCCCTCTGCCTTGGAGCTGCTCCCCAGAGCCTCCTGCTTTTGCTGTGCAGAGTGTGGGAGCGAGAAGAGGGGGGCACTGATGTCAGGATCTCTCTCCACACAGTGAAAAGGGGACGGAGGAAGCTTAGCAATGCAAATCTCTGTCACTTTCATGTGGCTGCGTCTAGACTGGCAAGTTTTTCCGCAAAATCAGCTGCTTTTGCAGAAAAACTTACCAGCTGTCTACACTGGCTGCTTGAATTTCTGAAAGAACACTGACTTCCTACTGTCTGAAATCAGTGCTTCTTGCGGAAATACTATGCTGCTCCCGTTCGGGCAAAAGTCCTTTTGCGCAAAACAAACTCAGGTTTGTTTTGCGCAAAAAAGCCCCAATCATGAAAATGGCGATCGGGGATTTTTTGCCAAAAAGCACGTCTAGATTGGCACGGACACTTTTCCAAAAAAAGTGCTTTTGCGGAAAAGCATCTGTGCCAATCTAGACGCTCTTTTCCACAAATGCTTTTAACAGAAAACTTTTCCGCTAAAAGCATTTGCGGAAAATCATGCCAGTCTAGACGTAGCTAGAGTGTGTATCTGTCATTCTCACAAACACACACTATCCTTCACTCACATCTCCCACTCCAACACAAACGTGGGGAGTTGTTACTTCTTTTATTGCTTGCAAAGTGGATTATTTTTGGTTTTTTATTCATCTGTGCATTTCATAATTTTCATTTCTCTCTTACACTTACATTTAATTCTTTGGATAGTGAGTTCTAAAATGCCTAACCTCTCGTGACAGGAGTCATTATCCTTGTGGTATTTGCTGCTCCTGGAAATGGCTAGCATGTCTCTGCAGCCCCAGAGAAAGGCAGAGCAGGACATGCTGTCCTTGCCTGCAGACACCACTCCTGCAGCTCCCATTTATCTGTAAGCGGGGGAATGGTCCCGCTCTTGTGGGGAACTTTCCTGGCTTCTATACACCCCGGTGAAATGAACCAGCGAAAGGATCTGAGTCCCCGCTCCCACTTCCTTTACCCCACGGCTCCCTGATCCTGAGGGCTCCCCCTCCACTCTCCTGAGTAGCAGAGCCCTTGAAACCCCAACAAGGCTGGGCCCAGGTTTCCTGGGGCTTAATCCCTGACCTTGTAGTCACTAGGGGCAGGAGTTAGGGTGTCCCCACTCCGAGGTGCTCTCTTTACACTGCAGGCCTTCTTGGCCCAGTGATCACTTCATAAGGTTCAAAGCAAATACAATTTATTAAACATCAACTGATTAAAGAGAATAGAATAAGAAACAATGAGAATGGTTAAATGAGAACGCACAGCCCTGCTCTGTAGCACAGGGACATCAACACAGCAGTCTGCAGAGTGTAAGGACAGTTCACAGTCTCTTCCTTAGAAGCCCGGATGTGCTGCAAGGGGCTGCAGGCTGGACACGCTTGCACTGGCAGTGACCACACAGCCTCAGTCTCTAAGTGGCCAGACCCCTCTCCCAGTCCAGAGCCTTTCCCCACACTTTGCAGGTCCCAGTAGCTCGCCACATCCGGCTGCAGACTGTGCTGCTTGGCCAGTTCCAGCTCCTTGTGTTGTTTCTCTGTTCCTTTTGGCTTTCTGAGCACTGCCAGTCTGCTGCTCAACACAGGGTCTGCACTGCTTGGCCTGTCTGTGTCTGGTTCTGTCGCTGCAGGACTTCTTCTTGTACTCCTCTTTCAGCTCTCTGTCTTTGCAGGACCTCTTCTGCACACAGCTTGTTTGTTCAGAGACAGAGCCAGAACAATCCCCACTTACAACCTGTCAGTCAGGCTGAGCTGGAGTGTTGACTGCTTTCCATTGTCTCTGGGGTCTGTCAGTCTCATGAACCCTTCCCCTTCTGAAGCTGGTAAACTAAAAAACTCCCACAGAGTTTTAGTAAGGGGTAACAGTCCCCTTACATATCAATAACGAGGCACCGTGGCCAGTAGAAGCTGTGGGCTCAGTGCCTGTAGAAGAGGGGCAGCATATGGCGCCATGGATCCATTGCTGTACATGCCAGCTGCTTTCAGGAGTGGTGCAGAGCCAGGGCAAGAGTAAGCCTGCCTTAACCCCACTGCTCCATCATTTGGAAGCCATCTCAGTTAAACGGTGACCAGCCAGAGCCTGTTTCCTGAACTCCTGTCCCAACCCTGAACCTCCCCCTACACCCAACCTCCTCCCTCAGCTGTTCCCAGTCCTGAACCCCCTCCTGCACTCAACCTTCTGCCCCAGATGTGAGTCCCCCGACACCCCAATGCTTTCCCAGAGCTTGCACCCTGAAACTCCTCCTGGACCCCAATCCCCCACGCTGGGCTAAGGCTGGAGTCCCTCCCACACTCCAGACTCCTTGGCCCAAGACCAGAGCCTGCACCCCAACCCTCTAACCCAGCTTGGTGAAAGCGAAAGAGAAAGGGGGATAGAGTGAGCAGGGTGAGGCCTCAGAGAAGGGTGGAACAGGGGCAGGGCGTTAAAGAAGGGGCGGGAAGGAGGTGGGGCAAGGGTATTTGGGTTTGAGGTAGATCTTACATTGTACTTAAATTGAAAAAGTGATCTTGTGGTTAAAAAGGTTGGAGACCGCTGCTCTAGATGGCATTTGTGGAAAGTAAAAACAACTCTGAGTGGAAATCGAAATTGAATTGGTTATAAGTTGAGAAATGCTTCACCAATAATGCAACTTAAGCATTAGTTTAAACTAAAGAAGAGAACAGCCATACATTGAGTAACAGAATGTAGATATTTTAATTTTTAGCAATGCTTTATGTGCTCCAGTGCCCACATAGAATAGATGGTGCTGAGAAAGTCAAACAATGCAAGACAACTTAAACAGCTATGATATAAACTCATCATGAGTTTTTACCTATGAGATTTTAAAAATATAAGATTCTGATTAGGAGGGAAATGTCTTTAATTACCCACTAGTCTGTGAGGGGTCTTTTTAATTAAGTATTCCGCACCAAAAAAATTAAATACTAATAGCATTTCACCTAATAAAAACCCATGGAAAATTACGCTCAAACTAATTTTGGTCAACCAGCCTTTAAAGCGATTAATGAATAATTTAAAAATCCATTCTGTCTCTGAGTTTTCTTCTACCTAGTTATCAGTTTGCTTTTTCACATTGTCATATTACTTGTTTTGTTTCTGTTCTGCCATCCACTCTAGAGTCACCCAGCTGTGCCAGTGTTCCGCTTAAGGTTCGGAACTCCTGGCGACGCTCACAGTTTTTCTCACAGTCAGGTAAATGATGCACTGGGAGTAACTGCATCTTTCCCGCTGCACAGAGTAGTAGGTGTGTTTAAAATGTGTGCTGGGGCAAAAGCTGATGATCACTGGTACTTATTTCCACTGTCTGCTTTCATAGAAAGTGCCTATTCCTGTTGCACAGTTGGCAAAGAGCTGTTGGATTATGTACAGGTTTAATGCTTTGGTTTCAGACACCAAAATAATTCTCATTTGCTTTTAAATTCATTTTTACTTTGCATCTGTTTTTAAGCCGTTTAGTTCAAAGGCTCTTAATAGAAAATGGCAATGGCTCTCTTGGTAACAGTGATACTTGAATAGTGTATTCCCTTGACATGTCCTACCCTTGCTCTGCTTTTTTTTCTTTCCCCACATTGAATAGTGAAGGGAAAGTTAAATTAAATCCGATAACACTCTGTTCAGACACTGCTAATGACTCTGACCAAAAGTAGTTGTCAGTAGCTAGTGATAGCTTAGAACCTATTGTTGTTATGTTCTTCGTAGTCATATCAAAAATACTTTTGGTGGTGGAGGGTACAATCTATTGTTCTTATCTGTGGTATCACGATTTTTCATTGCTGCTGGTTGTGGGGCAATTATAAAGTTAAAAAGTTGAATTGTTAGCTTCCCCTTCATGTAGCTGTGGCTAGGGGTTTTTTTTTTTATTTCAAGTTAAAATAAAGCATATTTGATAATCTTAATTTTTGTTATTTTCTTGTAGCAGATTCTGATAATAGTGACCAGTCAAATGTAAGTAATTTCTTTACACTATTCTTAATAGCAAAATATTAGTGTGTATAATGTAGAGATTTGCATGATTCTTTTGCAAACTGTTTCAAAAGACTGAACAGGATAGAGAAAACTCAACTCTTTTAACCAAAAGAAAAGAAATATGATCCAAAACACTTCATACACTTGTAAACAAATATGGGGCTGCATTCTTTTCTCAGTTACACCTGTACAATCCCATCAGCATCAGTGAAGTTGCACATGTCTACATGAGAGTAGAATTTTCCTCTTAACCAGGAGAAATGCAGTAGTATGCTGTGTGGATTCCATTTGGCCAGATTGTACATACTTGCTTAACTTTGAGAATGAATAGTCCCATTAGCTTTAGGGCTCTGTGACTGTTTATATGTTCCTTCTGATTACATTCAAAGTCATTATTACATACGAGAAATTATCAACAGATCAAAATCCATTATCCCTCAAGGAAACCCACATATATTAGAACACAGTGCATTCTGTATTCCACGTACTGCTCATTTGAAAAGACTTTTTTTTGAGAATGCATACGACTCATAACGTAGAGTGATCTAAAATATGTAGAGGCTTCCATTTCTAAAGAAAAAATGTAACACATCACATAGTGGATCTCTGATCTGACTGAGACCCATGGATGTTATTTCAATATTAATAATATCTTAAGTCAAGACTTGAGTTTGGATATTGTGTCCAAGATCTGAAAAGTGTGAACATTGTTCTACTGTGATAATTTATTTTTATGCCTGTGGTGTAAGGGGATTATTTTCAGGGAAAACAAATACTTGTTTATTTTTCTCAACTAAATTTGTATATTTATGTCTGTAAATCAAATCTTCTTGGAATGTCTTCCCAACATCTACCTGATGTTTTCCTAGTTCTTATTTGCAAACCAAACTATTTTTCTCTAACTTGGATATATTGCAAAATAAAACCATTTCCAATTGATGATGAAGCTAGGGATAGTGTTAGGTAACCATGAGAAGTACTATAAATTGAAGCAATTATAAATCTGATTTCCACTTCTGGTTTAACATCTTCACTGTGGAAGAATAGCTTATGTGATTACATTGTGTAGCTTTTTAGCATTGTCTGATGATTTATATTGCTAGATCCTAGTAACCTCGTTCAATTTATTTAAGCGTTTCAGTTTTTGGTCCTGGGATCCAGAAGAGGAACGAAAGCGACAGGAAAGATGGCAGCATGAACAGGAACGCTTGCTTCAGGTACTTGTGCTACTAAATTTCTTCCCACAATTGTTTAGTTGTTTTTCAGTAGAATTGTCACTCTTGTCAGACTTTGAGCAGTATAGTTCACTTTTGACTGTTTAAATTTTAGTTTCAAAACTAAACATTTTATATTAATCAAATAAACCATACATTTGGTTGAAGATAATGCTGAACACACCAGAGAATTTAATTGGTTAAACTGTAAACAATATTTAGATTTATTGTTGAAAAATCTTTGTCTAATTTATGTCTATAAAGAATTTACAGTGATTTTTAATTGTCTCGTTTTTTGGAGGGGAATTAGAAATACTAACTAAGGAAAAAAGTGAATAATTTAATTACAGGCAGTCCCCGGGTTACATGGATCCGACTTACATCGGATCCCTACTTACAAACGGGGTGAGGCAACCCCGCACTAGCTGCTTCCCCCCAGCAGACCAGGGAGACGCAAAGCTAGCGCCCTTCCTCCCCAGCAGACCAGGGAGATGCGGAGCGGCTTTTCTCAGCAGACACCTCAGCTTGAGAATAAAGGACTGAGGGAAGTGAGGTGTGGGAGAATAAAACTGAGCTCTGGAGAAATGTTTGGCTAGAGTTTCCCCTACAATATGTACCAGTTCCGACATACATACAAATTCAACTTATTGTGGTAAGTGCTTGTAAAACATTGTTTTGTCAAGCATGTGAAAAGTAAGTTAATTTTATTAAAGGAGGAGACGTTAAATGTATCGATTAAAAATAGTGATTTTTTTTGTTTTATGAAATACCCTATCATGCCTCATACTTTTAAATAATAGACTTTTATAAAGATATACTTAAGAAAAACATAAGATACATGAAAATATATTTCAATTATTTGCTTTTCTTTAGCTTACTTCAATAACATGCTATTTTTCAGTATTGGATTTGTTTTCAGAGATGTGCTGTTTTTAAAAATACAAAAGTAAAATACTGCAAAACAGTTTATGACTTAATGTGAGTTGAAGAATGGTTATCCACATCTATAATGGCAAAGGTCGTAACTTCTTTATGGGTTTAGTTCTCAGTGCTATGTTTTGCTTATGTCAACTAGAGTTATCTACAATATGTGAACTTGTAAATCAGTTCCATGTATAGGGACTTTTCCTAATCAGCATACAGCTTTCACCAGTTCCACCCTTTTCTAACTTCTGTTGTAAGTTATCTGTGCCCTGAACCACCATACTTGGGTAGTAAGCTGATAAAAGAAAATAGAAATATATCTTGGATGGGGATGAGAACACTGAATACCACTTCCTCTTTAGCACCAAACTTGGTTTTCCAGAAGACCAGCTCATTAAGAACAAAGTGCTAGAACTAAGTGATTGGACAATAAAATGGCAAATGAAATGTAATCTTAATAAATGTGAAGTAATGCACATTGTAAAAAATAATCCCAACTATATATACAATATGATGGAGACTAATTTGGCTACAACTGCTCAAGAGAGAGATCTTGGAGTCACTGTGGATAGTTCTCTGAAAATATCCACTCAATGTGCAGCTGCAGTCAAAAAAGCAAATAGAATATTAGGAATAATTTTAAAAAGGATAGAGAATAAGACCCAGAATATCTTCTTGCCTCTATATAAAACCATGGTATGCCCACATCTTGATACTGTGTACAGGTTTGGTCGCCTCATCTCAAAAAATATATTGGCATTGGAAAAGGTTCCGAAAAGGGCAACAAAAATGATTAAGGGTTCAGAACGGGTCCCCTATGAAGACAGATTAAAAAGACTTGGACTTTTCAGTTTAGAAAAGAGGAGACTAAGGAGGGGGATATGATAGAGGTCTATACAATCAGGACTGGTATGGAAAAAGTGAATAAGGAAAAGTTATTTACTTATTCCCACAATATAAGAACTAGGGGTCACAAAATGAAATTAATAGGCAGCAGGTTTAAAACAAATAAAAGGGTATTAGCTGGGATGGATAGGGATGGTATCCCTAGCCTCTGTTTCTCTGGAGGTAGGTGAAGAGAGGATCATGTGAGGAATCTTGTGAGGATTATCTGTGTGATTCATCGCTCTGGGACATTTGGTATTGGCCATTGTCGGCAGACAGGATACTGGGCTAGATGGACTTTTGGTCTGACCCACTATTGCCATTCTTATGTTATCTTATGTCTCATGTAGAATCTCTCCAAAACTTTTCCAGAAATTGTGGGGGAAGACTGAGGGTTTGTTTGTTTTGATGGTGATAGAAATGGTTTGTTTTGATGGGTATTCTTGGTTTTGTTTTATTTTTGCATCAGATGAGACTTCCATTTCTGTCTTGTTTTTAACCAGAAGAGTAGTTCACAGGTTCAAGAATAGCTACCAAATACACATTGCATCTTGGGTCTATACTTAAAGCGCACAAAACATAAGCTATGTGATTATTAATTGTTTTTCTTGAAGACTGTATTACTTTTTTCATCCTGAACTTCATTCATATGGGAACATTGCTTACAAACAAGTACTCTGTTAGATTATGAAGATTGTTGTTTGCAGTTGGCTAATTTAAGACCAAGCTAAACTTCATTATAAAGTGGCTTCTAGAAACTTTCTCTGTACAGCTGAGTAGTATAATAAGCAATATGAGAGGGGTTGGGGTTTTTTTTGGGGGGGGGGAGGAAATTTCCTGTCCTAGACGAGCAAATCATAGTGGCACACTATTCTCCATGGCTGTGTCTCGACTGGCCAGTTTTTCCGGAAAATCAGCCGCTTTTCCAGAAAAACTTGCCAGCTGTCTACACTGGCCACTTGAATTTCCGTAAAAGCACTGACTTCCTACTGTAAGACATCAGTGCTTCTTGCGGAAATACTATGCTGCTCCCGTTCAGGCAAAAGTCCTTTTGCACAAAGCTTTTGCGCAAAAGGGCCAGTGTAGACAGCTCAGATTTGTTTTCCGCAAAAAAGCCCCAATCGCGAAAATGGCCATCAGGGCTTTTTTGCGGAAAAGCGTCCGTGCCAATCTGGACGCTCTGTTCCGAAAATGCTTTTAATGGAAAACTTTTCCGTTAAAAGCATTTCCGGAAAATCATGCCAATCTAGACGCAGCCCATCTGCAAAGAAAGAAATTGAAACTTCCTCATGTCACTCAATAATGAACCAAGAGAACAATCTTGATAGGCTCCAGGTAGGTCTTGTTTCTCCTTTTCCCTAGCAAGGAAGAAGATTGGGATGGATGGTAATGAAAATACAGGTTTACATATTTAAAACTGATTACTTTTGACCAGCATTTCCTTCTTGAGCTTAGTATCTTTATACCTCATACATTTTTATTTCTATTTGTTGTTTACTCCATTCCAAAATTAAATGTTCATCAGATTAGGTGGAGTCGATTTCACATTTACCTGGTAACAACATTTATAATAAACAAATTTCTTCTGGGTCAGGGTTTTATGTTCTCAGTATTTTTAACCTTTGTTTTGCACAGTATTTTGGAGGAAGAAGGTTGTAACCAAAGTGCAGAGGAAATGGCTGTTCCAATAGAATGAAAAGAGTTTTGACACCACAGCATTTTAAAGAGCTCTTTATGAGATTCTCTTTTGATTCAGGACACATGCAAGGCTGGGGAGATTCAAGAAATAATCCCATCCAGGAAGAAAACCAACTACTCAGCTAATCATCATCTTATCCACTTCAGACCTTTATACAATGTCTATTTATCTTATGAACCTACATGGTTTTTCATCTTTCATTAAATTGTACTAGCAGCAGCTTATCTTTATTAGATTAGTGCCAAAGCTAATATTTGCAAAGCCTGGTTAAATTCAGAAGCTATTTTAGACCCAATGATTAATGCAAAATCCATGCTTTAAATATATTGGAATGTTTTGATAGCTTTTTCTGAACTCTTCATATCTTCCTAAGCTATGATTGTTTTTAAATGCTTCAGATAAGTTTCATTTTGAACAGCATCTAGCATTTGAAAGCTCCTAACTAGCCAAACTTGATATAGCACTTTTAAGTGTTTCTGGTGTTTTGCAATAAGCTAAAAGTACTAAACAATGTAAAACTTCCCTGGGGACATTGTGGAGGGGAGAGCAAAGAGAAGTTTGTTCGTGTTCTTGTATTTACATTGCATGCCTGTTTTTTGATGAGCCAGTTTCTAGTGGGTCTAATTTCCTGATACATAGCAGATATTGCAGAACATAAGTATTGCCTTGTAATCATTGCACGTAAACTGATAAAAAGAATCCCTACTAAGTTTCCTATTGACTAGATTGTGCTAAAATTCTGTACAGGAGAGGTACCAAAAGGAGCAGGACAAGCTGAAAGAAGAATGGGAAAAAGCACAGAAAGAAGTTGAAGAGGAGGAGCGTAGATACTATGAGGAGGTATAACATTCAAAAGAAGCACGTTTAAGAGGAGATCTTGTAGTTCTAGTGCAGGGGTATTTTGCTTCTATGCATTTTTTAAGTATTTTAATAGTGGGACTGTCATTTGCAGACCAACCAGTTCAAAGATCCTTTATGTGAGAAGGTTTACATCTTGGCAATGGACTGTTACTTTAACTAGTTTTTATTTTCATGCCCTTGTTTTGTCCTATGCTCAGGTCATCCCTTTGTCCTGCTTCAGTGGTGCAGTTAGCTTGGAAAATGTTTGGATCTCTTGAGTTGTTGTCATGTTCATTGTTTGTTTTTAATCATACTTTTATGTACTGTAGTTAGGCAGATTAACATGGACTAAGCAGATCTTGAGTAGTAAATGGCATATTGATGACCTCGAGGAGAGGTAAAACATCTTTCTGAACTCTCTGCACTTCTTATGCACCCACCATCACACTGGCCAGCCACATAAAATTACTTAGAAAATCTAACTTTAGGAAATCTGTCTATGCTACAGATGCAGTGACATAGGAAAGAGGTGTCAGAAGGGTTTAGGTGACATTAATCAGGCATTCCCAATATGAGTGTGCACATCAATAAATACGTACATATGCTTGATTAGCAGCAGTCGTGACTTCACTCGGCCATGACTAGACCCACAACTTCACCTGTAAGACAGTGGCATTCATAATATAATGGGGTTTGTAGTGAAGTTGACTAGAGAAAATTTTGATGAAGTCCTACCAAATTTTATACTCTTGCTTTTGGAGACCTAGCAAAGCTACGTATGTAGGTAGTGCAATGGCATATACAATTCAGTGTTGTCAAAATTAAAGAAATGAACATTGGAAGGAGTAACTTCAGCTAATTCTATAATAATAACTCTGTTCTGTTTGAAGAATGGGATAGAGGATAATACTGAAAAATATTACAAAGCCATTAAATAAAATAGTAATACATCCTCACTGGGAATAGTGTCCCATTCTGGTTAACCCATCACAAAAAAAGATACAGTGTGAGTACGAAGCATTCAGAGATAGGTAATGAAAATGACTTGAGTCTTGAAGCAAAAGCAAAACTGAGAAAAGGACAAATTTCTTACAGAATACATAACTGTCAATTAAAATACCCTGCCATATGATATTGAGTCCAGTTACTTTGCATTGCATGCTCAGCAACTTTGAAGATCGGGCCACTTAGCTAAGTGTCTAAATATGAATTTGTAAGCCCAACTTTATATTCTTGCTTCTGAAGATCTTATCCAGAGTTCGTTGGCAAGCCTCATGTTTAAATCTCTCCTCTTCCTCCTTTCTGTTCCCACCTCTCCTTTAGGAACGCAAGATAATTGAGGATACTCTAGTTCCATTCACTGTTTCTTCAAGCTCTGCTGAGCCCCTCTTCACTTCTTCCTCTGTCACTGAAGGAAATGGGACAGTGGTGAGTGTCTGAGTGCAAAGTAGGAGTTAATGAAAACAAGACAGTAAAGGCAAATCTATGTTCATTGTCAAGTTAGATCATGCCCTAATGATCAACAGAGTCTACGGATGGCATGAAAGGCAGTTTTTGTGAACCCCCCGTCTTACTTTTAAGAGCACTTCTCAATTCGCGTAGTTCATTTTTTAACTGATGAAAAAGCCCAGTTATGCCTCTGAGAACTATGCAGTGCTTAAATAAAATGTATTATAAATAAAGAGCCCAACCCCAAAGCAAGTTACCACCATCTCACATTAGACAAGAACAGAGTTAAAGTAAAAGTGGCCGGGAGTTGCACAACTCCCCATTAAAAGCAGATAGTGTTCCTCTTCCTCCCCTGTCTTCAGTGAGCATAGCTGCCCTCATTGCTACCACTCTGCTTCAGCTGGTGCAGGCAGATGTCACCCCTGTGTTTCACCCTACTTTGATGATCATATGAAGTCCTACATAATCTAAAATTTGCCTTTTGAATATGGGACCTCTTATGTCTAAAGCAAGATGGAAATAACATAGGAAAGTTCAGGGTCTGATCCTTCCATGGCTCCTGATGCACCCAGTGCCCCACTGGCGAATGTGTTTCACAAAAGGCTAGTCTGACACATTCAACCAGGCCATGGTCTCCATTGCCCAAAGCAGGGTGTGGTACTGTAGAATAGCTTGCTGAAAAATTCTAATAGAGACAAGGAACAACTAATTTCTACCTCATTGGAGGTTATCAAGATCGACACTTTAATGACCACACGTGGCTTTGACCTGAGCTAGCTACTTTGGGGTAAAAAGTAATGGCTTGTCTCCACTAGGATTTTACAGCTAGATAAGGCACTGCAGACCATGCTGGAGGCCTGACCAGGTTCTGACAGCTTCCCTAGGCTGCACAGATTTTCCGCAGTACTGTCAGCTGTGGACCTACCCAGCACATCCCTTACACTGGGACTTGAAGTGGTCTTCAAAAGGCAGTCTTATGCCTACCTACCACAGTATCTGTGCTAGGGAATCCTCCCATGGCTGGTTACAGGGTTTTTATGATTCCCTTATGTGGTTCTAACCCTTTTTGCATAGCACAGGGAGGCCATACTAGGGGTGAGAAGCACATCCCTAGTACATGACAGCTATCAAGAATAGGTGTGTTTTGCCTTCTAGGAGACTAGAAAGGTTTAGCTTTTACTAGTAAACTCTCAGTCAAAGCCACAGCTTGGCGTCTTCTCTTCTCATTCTAATGGAGAAGGAGATGAACATTTGTCATCCTGAAAGCTCTCTGCTAGACAGTACCTTTAATTTATTAGTGTATTTCAGAACTGACAATCAGATTCTAATCAATAATTGTATTTCTCAGGCAATGGGCAATGTAAATATATAGTCATTTTGTTTCCCATGGGAGTTCTCAACACCTCATCGTGAGCCTGTATTAATCAGCTTTGTTTCTAAAGCTAAACTTTGAAGACTGATACATTTTGTAATTATGCTTTGAATGTTGCATTATCTGTCTGTAATCACGGTCTTCTGTAATGGCTTCTATGACTCTATGTTGACCCAGAGAGGAAATGCCCTTCCTTGTTTCAAGTTCACTATAATCATGTTAATTTTTCTACACACTACACCAATCAAATCCAAGATCAGTGTCAGTAAGGTCAAATAACTTTCATTTTTTGTAACATTTTCTCCTTGAAGGCATTTCCTTTATGTGTAACGAATACAGTACACTGTACATCAGAAGCAGGAAACCTGCTAAACAACTAGAGGGACCCCTGGATGATTGAGATGCTAAAAGAGCACTCCAAGAGAATAGTCATTGTAGAGAAACTAAATGAATTCTTTGCTCTGGTCTTCATGGCTGAGGATGTTGGGGAAATTCCCAAATCTGAGTCATTCTATTTAGGTGACAGATCTGAGGAATTGTCCCAGATTGAGGTGTCATTAGAGGAGGTTTTGGAACAGATTGATAAACTTAACAGTAACAAGTCACTGGGACTAGAGAGCATTCACCCAAGAGTGCAATTGCAGAACTATTAACTGTGGTTTGTAACCTATCCTTTAAATCAGATTCTGTACCTCATGACTGGAAAATAGCTAATGTGACGCCAATATTTAAAAAGGTTCTAGAGGTGTTCCTGGAAATTATGGACCAGTAAGTCTAATGTTAGTACCGGGCAAATTAATTGAAACTATAGTAAAGAATAGAATTGTCAGACACATAGATGAACATAATTTGTTGGGGGAAAGTCAACATGGTTTCTGTAAAGAGAAATTATGCCTGGCTAATCTACTAGAGTTCTTTGAGGGGGTCAATAAACATGTGGACAGGGAGATCCAGTAAATATAGCGTACTTAGATTTCCAGAAAGCCTTTGACAAGGTCCCTCACCACAGGCTCTTAAGTAAAGTTAGCTGTTGTGATAAGAAGGAAGGTTCTTTCATGGATTGATAACTGGTTAAAAGACAGGAAACAAAGGATAGGGGTAAACAGATGGGCTACGTCTAAACTGGCATGATTTTCCGCAAATGCTTTTAACGGAAAAGTTTTTCGTTAAATCATTTGCGGAAAAGAGCATCTAGATTGGCACGGACACTTTTCTGCAAAAGCACTTTTTCCGGAAAAGCGTCCGTGCCAATCTAGATGCGGTTTTGCGCAAGAAAGCCCGATCGCCATTTTCGCAATCGGGGCTTTTTTTACGCAAAACAATACCATGTTGTCTACACTGGCCCTCATGCGCAAAAGCAGCATAGCATTTCCGCAAGAGCACTGATTTCAGACAGTAGGAAGTCAGTGTTCTTGCGGAAATTCAGGTGGCCAGTGTAGACAGCTGGCAAGTTTTTCCGCAAAAGCACTTGCTTTTGCAGAAAAACTTGCCAGTCTAGATGCAGCCTAAGGGTACATCTAGACTACAGGCTTTTGTCGACAGAAGTTTTGTCAACAGATACTGTTGACAAAGCTTCTTTTGACAAAGAGTGTCTAGACTACATCCAGGTCTGTCGACAAAGCAAGCCACTTTGTCGACATGACAGTGTAGCCGCAAAGGACAGTGTAGATGCAATAACACCTTCTGTAAACAGAACTCTGTTGACAAAAGGTGTTATTCCTCATAGAATGAGGTTTACAGCCATCGACAGAACTACTGAGTTCTGTCGACGTTATGTTGACAGAACTCAGCGGCAGTGTAGATGCAGGTATAGTTTTGTCGACAAAAGTCCACTTTTGTCTCCAAAACCCTGTAGTCTGGATACACCCTAAGTTTTCAGAATAGAGAGAGCTAACTAGTGGTGTCCCCCAAGGGTCTGTCCTGGGGACAATCCTATTCATTTTACTTATAAATGAACTGGAGAAAGGGGTAAACAGTGAAGTGGCAAAATTTGAAGATGATACTAAATTGCTCAAGCTGGTTAAGACTTAAGTAGAGTGTGAAGAGCTTTAAAAAGATCTCACCAAACTAAGTGATTAGGTAACACAATGGCAAATGAAATGTAATGTTGATAAACGTAAAATAATCTCGAGAGAGATCTTGGAGTCATTGTGGATAGTTCTCTGAAAACATCCTCTTGTGCAGCGGCATTCAAAAAAGCAAACAGAATGTTAGGAATCATTTTAAAAGGGATAGAGAATAAGACAGAGAATATTTTATTGCCTCTATAAATCCATGGTACGACCATATGTTAAATATTGCATACAGATATGGTCACCTCATCTCAAAAAGATATCTTGGCATTGGAAAAGGTTCAGAAAAGGGCAACAAAAATTATTAGGGGTTTGGAATGGGTCCCATATGAAGACAGATTAAAAAGACTGGGACTTTTCAGCTGAGAAAAGAGGAGACTAAGGGGACGGATAGGATAGAGATCTTTAAAATCATGACTGATGTGGAAAAAGTGAATAAGGAAATACTGTTTACTTGTTCCCATAATATAAGAACTAGGGGTCACCAAATGAAATTAATAGGTAGCAGGTTTAAAACAAACCAAAGGAAGTTTTTCTTTATGCAGTGCACAATCTGGGGAACTCCTTGCCAGAAGATGTTGTAAAGATCAGAACTTCAACAGTATTCAAAAAAGAACTAGATACATTCATAGAGGATAGGTTCATCAATGCCTATTAACCAAGACGGGTAGGAATGGTGCTTCTAGGCTCTTTTCGTCAGAGGCTGGAAATGGATGACTATAGAGGGATCATGTGATGATCGCCTGTTCTGTTCACTCCCTCTGGTGCATCTGGCATTTGCCACTGTTGCAAGATGGAGTACTAGACTGGGTGGACCTTTCATTGGACCCAGTATGGTCATTCTTATGTTCTTACATAAGCATACGGATAGGCTGTATTGTTCTCATACATGTTCTGAAGTTGGGTTCAGGTGAAGTTGGGTTCACTTTGTGTTTTTTGTTTTTTGTTTTGTAGAACTTGGTGGAACTGAGCAACTCTCAAGAGGAAGACAGACAAAAGGAAATGAAAAGACAGGAAAAATTACCGTGGGAGCAGGAGGGTTCATCGTTGGCAAAAAACAAGAAAAGCGAGCCATGCCCAGAAAAGAAAAGGTGCGTATCAATTCAAGATATTTTAGACAAATGAATATACTTGCAAGGTACTTGATCAGGGCACACAGCAAAATTGTTTTATGTACCGTGCTCAGACTGGGGGCATGGAAGTGCTTGCAACCTCCATTTCTACACATTACACAGCCACCCTGGCCCATAGTCCGCCCTAAACTGTTTTTCACAATCTGTAATCAATCCTGAGATCCCTCACCCTTACCAGACTTCCGCTTGCCTTTTGAGGTTTCTTTTTTTCTGGAAATATACAATGAAATGTATAAATTTTTATATTTTTAAAACAATATTTGAGTCTATCCTTGCTTTTACCTCCTCTCACTTGATTTCCTTATTCATTTCCCAGTGTCTTTTCCACCTTCCCCTTGCATCTTTCTTCTCACACCTTCCCTTCCTCTCTTTCCATCTTTTCCTTACTCTTTCATCCCTCTGTCTTTCATCCTCCTCTTTTTCTGGTTCTCTATGATCCCTTTCTAAGGCCAGAAGTAACATTGTGATCATGTGGTCTGACCTCCTGCATTGCAGAGGCCATTGAACTTCCCTGAAAAAAAATCCTAGAGCAGATCTTTCAACAAACAGTCTTCATTTAAAAATGGTCACCATGACTCTTGGTAAGTTGTTCCAATGATTAATTACTGTTAAAAATGTTCTCTTTATGTCCACTCTGAATTTGCCTACCTTCAACTTCCAGACTTTGGATTATACCTTTTCTTGCAAGGTTGACAAGCTCATTATTAAATACTTGCTCCCTGTGTAGACACTTAAATATAGTAATCAAGTCACCTCAGTCCTAGTAAAGAGGTTAAGCTAAATAGGTGTTCCTTGAGTCCATCACTGAAAGTATGTTTTCTAATCCTTCTATCATTCTAGTAGCTCTTTCCTGACCCATCTTCAATTTACCAGCATCCTTCTTGAAATATGGACAAGGTACTCCAGCAGCATGAGCAGGAGTGCCAAATACAGAGATAAAAGAACCTCTCTGTTTCTACTCAATATGCCCCCATTTGTGCATCCTATGTTCACATTAGCTCTTTTGACCACATCATCACGCTGGGAGTTCATGTGCAGCTGATTATCCACTATGACTCCCAGATCTTTTCCAGAGTACTGCTTTCCAGTACTCCTGTAAGTATGGCCTATGTTCTTTGTTCCCAGATCTATACGTTTAGTGCCATCCCTCCATTTTCATCATCACCCCATTAGGAAGCAACCAAGTCATCACTCACTAAGCAAGAGCTGTGCCTCCTTCAAGGAGTTACTAGACCAATTCCCTTTACTAGCTATTCTGTATCATTCTGGAACACCACATTCACTCATCCTTGGGTATGGGCTTCTGGAAGGCTGACATTGCTATTGAGGAGGGTTAAGGTTATAATATGTGATCTGTGTTGTGAAATGGCTGTTCTCTTGGTTAAGAGTGTTTCTCTGGGTGGTACAATGGTATTGATATTGTACTGCTTGGGCCATTTACTACCTATGAAGCGCCCCCTTGTGGCCAAAGGTCACATAGCACCATTTTCATTTCTTTGCTTTTATGGCTGTGTCAGGTATGTTATATATAACGCAATCTTAACTCACACTACAGTGGTGTCTTTTTGTACTAATTTCCCAAGTTTCTTCTTAGGTTAAGAAAGGGTCTCCAATTTAGCAGTAGCTGCTTTTACAGAGAACCAGGATCTCTACTCCTGAATTGGCCAGATGGTTTGGCCAAGAACAGGATTTTCGATGCTGGTAGCCATTGCTTTGACAAGGACAAGGCGCTCCTGAGGAAACTGAACATTATGCAGAGAGCAAATCATTGGCACAGTAGCTGTTGACTTGTCAAAAGATGCTGTTCTATGTGATGCTGTATACGGGCACTGAAGGCCTTTCTGTATGTCAGGCCAGCAAAGAGAGTCAGCATAGCCGTTTATTGCCAGTTCATGATTATTACCCACACTGGTTTATTATTGCTAACACATAGATATCAATATTAGTTGAACATAAGAGGTTCACGTACAAAAGCACAGTAATGACACTCTAGCTTTGTGTATATCATGTGATTTGCTTTTATTAGCAATGTAAATGAAGTGCCCACAGAACACCCAGAGACTATTCTTCAGTGGGGAAGTGAGCAGAATCACCAGGCATCAGTGACGGCACACAGCTCACCTGCCCTACTGAATCTGCCATTGACTCAAGGTAAGATTCCAAACATTCCAAAGATTGGTTTTGATTGTCCAGGAAATTTGACAGGTTTGTAGAGTGATTTAATTAAGATGAAATTGTGAATTTCCAAAATAATTGAATCAGTGTTATTGCTGCGGGATTTAAACTTTACCTAGGTTCAAAATGTGTTTAATGTAAGCTAAGATAAATTAATTTAAGTGGTAAGTAGCTTTGGATCCTTGGCATTATATGCCATGAGAGGCTGAGCACTTAAACTCCAGCTGGGAAGCTAAATAATCAGACTCTGTGTGCACAACAGTTTAAAGTATATCCTGCAATATAATTTAATGTCAAAAAAATCATTAACACGGAGATACAGTTGCCTAATGTTGCCTCAGTCCCTTCCAGAACATTGAGTTCAGCAAAACTCAGACTTCTGAAAACCAAGAATTACAGGTAAGGTAGCTACCCCTACACCTTTAGCTCTGTCCTTGGAACAGGAAATAGCCACTGGGAATTAACTGCACGAACCCCATCTGCAGTCACTGTTGTTACTCTTAGAGGTATAGCTGTGTTAGTCTGTAACTTTAAAACAAGTAGTCCTGTGGCACCTTAGAGGAGACCACCTTAGAGGAAACTAACAAATATATATATATATAGTATGATGAGCTTTCAAGGGCAAAACCAACTTTCTCAGATCAGCAGAGAGGAGCAAAAAAAGGGGGACCCTCACAATTTATAACAGAAAGAGAAGGGAGAGGGGAAAAATTACTTGTCAATTCTAGTGACTATGCTAATAAGACTAATTGAGTGGGCTGGAAGTGTCCCATGCTTAGCTTTTGATGTCAATTGGATGTTGAATGTAAGGAAAGCAAGTTTTATAATTGGTCATCCAGTTTAAATCGTTGTTCAAGATATAGTTGGCTTGTGAAATTCCTTTGTAGAAAAATCGCTATTTTAAAATCCGTTAATTAGTGTCCAGATAGGTTAAAATGTCCCCCTGCAGGTTTCTGTGTGTTACCGCTTTTAATATCTGATTTGTATCCATTAATCCTTTGTTGTTAGATGTAGCTGTCTTGAATATCAGAGGAATAAGATGGAGCCTTTTGGAAGGTCTGTGATTATGATATGAGGACATTTGGGGATTAGTTTGAGGAGCATCTTAGAGCTGTGATTGTAATGAAAGAAGTTTATTTTCAGATTTGCCTTGAGAATGGCTTTCACATGTCCAAGTTGTTAGACTGCATTAACTTAATAAAATGCTGGTTTTGTAATTTTGGGTCTATTTCTCAGGAGTCTCTTGATTAAATAGCTCCACATTTGGAAAACTCAACCTATCTTATACTTCCATAAGGCACTGCAGATTTCAAGATAATTCATGTAAGCATGCAGATTTTAGAGCACTAAATATTGTCTTTTCAACAAGAAGGTCTTCCTTCCCAACCTCAGCTACAGCAGAGCTGGTGCACCATTATAATATTTTATGACATGCATCTAGAAGAAGAATAAAGGGGAGGAGCTCTACATTTCCATCATCAACATCGGCCTTACTATAGAGGCCAAAATCCCCATCCTGAACCATTTTTTTTAGTTGACAGACCTGAAGGAACTGTCTCAGATTGAGGTGTTGATAGAGGGAGTTTTGGAACAGATTGCTAAATTAAGCAGTAATAGGTCACCAGGACCAGATGCTATTCATCCAGAGCTCTGAAAGAATTCAGGTATGAAACTGCAGAACTACTAACTGTGGTATATAATCTGTCACTTAAATTAGCCTCTGTACCAGATGATTGAAGAATACCTACTTTGATGCTGATTCTTTAAAAAGACTCCAGGGAAGATCCCAGCAATTCTAGGCTAGTAAGCTCTACTTTGATACAAGGAAAATTGGTTGAAACTATAGTAAAGAAGAGAATTAGCAGGCACAGAGATGAACACAACATATTGGGAAGAGTTAATATGGATTTTGAAAAGGGAAATCGTGCTTCCCCCATCAGAATTCTCTGAGAGGGGGAACAAACACGTGGGCAAAGATGATCCAGTGGATATTGTGTACTTAGACTTTCAGAAAGCCTTTCACGGGGTCCCTCACCAAAGGCTCTTAGGCAAAGTAAGCAGGCATGGGATAAGAAGAAATGTCTTTTCATGTTCCAGAAACTGATTGGGGAAAATTATAGGAATAAATGGTTTTCATAGTGAAGAGAGGTAAATAGCACGTCCTCCAGGGATTGGTACTGGGACTGGAGGCATAGCCATGGGGGGGGGGGGGGGTCTGAGTGGATGGCGGTCCATCCACTTAGCATCCAAGCCCACCCAAATTGGGCCCAAAGCAGGAGCTCCACAAATCCACAGGCTGGGACTCCTCATCCTGGCTTGGGGTTTGAAACTGGGGCAGGAGCAGAACACGGCTGGGCTGACAGACACTGAGCTGGGGTCAGGAGGGCTATATGAACATCTTTAAGTTGCTCAACTGCAGCGTTCCTGCATTTATTCCTGATGGGAAAACATACTGAATATAATCTGGTGTCTCTTCTTACAACTGTTAACAAGAATATATTGGCTTTATTTCTCTTACGTCCTGTTGCCTGTTTTACTGTCATGCCTTACTCTTTTTGGTACCCACAAGTTATATTCATTAAAAATAATCTTGTCAAATGTTTTTTATCTGAAGTATTCAATTTACCCCACTCTGTAATTTCAGATGCGTCAAGGAATCAGCAGTTAACAAAAAAGTCACCACACATTTCAGAAGAAGTGTGTGTTCAGAAAACATCTCTGGATCAGAACATAGGCCAACAAGCTAATTCCCCAGGAGAAAGGAGGAGGTGGGTCATAGAAATGTGCTTGATCACACTCTCTACCAGTCATGAGATGTCTTTTTTAATTCATTATAATAAAATATAGTGTAAATTTTGAGAAGTTCTGTTAACTTTGTTACTTAAAAACATGCTATTTCGTTCAACCAGTGCTGATTAATCATAACATGTAGAAATGTAGCTAGTTACTGGCTTTCTTACACCATGCTAACTTTTATTAATTTTAGTTCCTTCAATTACTCTCTCTGTTGTAGCCCACAACCTAGCTGCTGCCACTGTTCCTATGACGCCTCCTTAGCTCTTTATCCCCTTGGAATGTAAAAAAAGTTACTATATTATGTTTGTGTTCACTGTATACTCCAAATATATATAGACCATAGAAAGTGGCAAAGTTAACTTTGCTCTAGACACCTGGAGGGAAATTCTGACCCCGTTGAAATCAATGGCAAAATTTCCATTGACTTTTGAGAACCTAACTTTTTAAGATGTAATACTCATTGTTGCATTTCATAAGAACTGTAATCCGAGTGAAAGCAATCAAGGCCAGAGTGAAATATTAACTAACTTGCTTTTGATGCTGAAATAGATTCTGGCTGCTACTTTCCATTTCCATATTCTTTGTCTTAACAGATCTCTATATAATAGTATTCTGAAATTTAGAAGAATAGATACTAAGATTAGTATTTTTTTCTGGATCTATACTTAGACTTTGCCCTGCATTTCTAGGTAAGCATTATTAAAGAATAGCTTCTGCTTTCTCTGTAAGGGAGACATTTTGACTTAAGTTTCACAAGCAAAGTATCAATGTTGTATGTTAGAGAAATATTTTAGAGCTCACAATTAAGCATTGATTAGGATTTGTTTTCTTGTTAAAATACATTAATTCAAACCTGTATACATATGAATGCCCTGTCTCTGATCTATAACTCTTGTTTCACCTCTCTTGTTTTTCTTCATTTATCATTTTAATTATAATACTATTTAAGTCTTTAATTGGAGGGTGTCCAATCAAAACTAACCAGCTTAGTTTGATTTTCAACTCTTTAATACCCACAGCAAACTGCCTTTGAACAATTTATATATTGAAAACTAGTATTGAAGTTATTTAATAATGATTAGTACATATGAGCAAAATATGATCTGATCACACACAACTTTTGACAAGTGAGATAAAAATGGTCTGATTTTTCATTACAAATTATTTGTTTAGCTCTTCCTGCATTCCTTGTTGTACAGGTGTTTTGTTTTGTTTTTTGGTTGTTTTTTTTTTGGCCAGAGGAGGGGGAGCTTCAACGAAGCTACCATTTAATATGAATAACTATTGTTGCTAGACTAACACTCCAAAAAACTATTTATTCTTTGTTGAAAAAACAGGGAGTGTTTATATTAGAGTTGATTAGCAATAGGGATTGCATTTAAGCAGCAGAGCTGAATTTTAGTTGTGGCTTATTTGTGAAGTATGAGCATCAGTAGGATGCTAGGATTTTTATTTATTTACTTTTAATCTTACTATAACTTTCTTTTCTCTTCTTCAGGATAGGCTGTCATGAGAATTTCAGGTCTGGGCTGTCATCTCCATGCTCCCCTACACTTCAAAGCCAGTCACCCAACAGGTATCAAAGGTCAATAAGGAATTTTGCAGACTGACTAATTTTTGGGCAAGGGAAACTTCAAAGATAAATTGTAGCAAATCAATTCTATTAATATTATTTTAACATTATTGGTATTTTCAAATACCCCTGAAATGCATAATTTTCCATCATACTTTTTTATTCCCATTGTTGTTGGCTGCTTCAGTATTTATAGAATAAAATGCAGTTTGGTGTAAATATTAATTATGGGGACTCAATTTTGCTATAAAATTCCAAATATAATATAAGCCTTAGTTTATATTAAAAAGCATTTAAGCATGTGTTTAACTGTAAGCACAAGAGGGCATCTATTGGTGCAGGAGTTGAAGTTTAAGAACATGCTTGAGTGCTTTGGATCATCAGGGTCAGATTTTGTGGGAGCTACCACTCCTGTTAAAAACATGCATTATTATTCATTTCTCTCTCTCTCTCTTTCTCACACTCACACACTCACACTCACACTCACACTCACACTCACACTCACACTCACACTCACACTCACACACTGCAGTGCAGTGTTTGATCTATATATCCAATACCTCCTACATAAAGGCAGAGTGTGGGGTCTGG